AGAACAAAGTTGAACATAACTGGCTGTAAAAATCCACAAAACATTCTCAGGTTTGTTTTGCCACTTGAGGTATCAAAAGGAAAGAATTTTCTATTTTGATGTCAGTAATCTTTTTAAGTGACTCTTTAGGTAGATATGCTTTGAATTAGTAGATGGATGATGAAATAAAACAAAGAGCATGAAATGTACTACACGTATTAACCTACATGCATATATAAATATTTTACTAAAACGACGCTGAAATTAGTTTTGGGAACGCTACTAAAGTTATGTTCTGTTACCTCAGGCCTTGTTGAAGACTGTTCCAAAGTGCCAAACAAAACGTTGAACAGCCTCTCAAACGTCTAAGAAAGGCGACTGTAACGAGAGTTGAGTCACTCCTCGGACGGGTCGAGGCACCACCGAAAATAGTATAAACGTGGACAACAATAGCGGTCGAAGCTAACGGACTAGGCTGGCAAAACGGTGTCAATGGTAAAGCGTGTATCCGGGCAGCCGTACTGTCTGCACAGAAAAAAAAGACGCTTTCTGCTGACGGCTTTGGATAGTCTACAATATCTACTGCCAAGTCGCAGTTTCAGAAAGGGCTTTGCTGGTATCTGTCAAGACGAGGGAAGGTCTACAACAGATGAAGTTGAGTCAGGACGCTCTATTTATTTGCAAAGCTCAGACTAATATCATCAATAGTATTTTTTTCTGACCTTGTACACAGAACGTTCTAGTAAATTGATAGGCCTCGGCCATCCATATGCAGATGGACAAGGACGTGGACAACGTGGCCACAGTTTTACAGATGAAGCCCCTGTTACACATTCAGAACCTCCTCCCAACACTAACTGACCAAGGTTGGCTGAAGTTCGAGAGTATTTCGACCAGATTTTATGTCAAGCTTATCTTTCGATATTACGAATCTAATCAAAAATTAATACATTTAGTCAAATTGGAATGCCCCCAACTACTCCAGAACACCAACCAACCATGGCCACAACTCCCTTTTACACCAAAATATTTTAAACATTTGGAAACATTTGCTTAGAGCAGCCGAACAGTAGCCTTCCTCGCAAACACTAGCCGACATTGCTCCCGATATATTCCGGACTAATGATTAAGGGGCGCTTGGCTAGTCTTCGGGTGGCCAAATTCGTAAATATATACTGTGACAGAGGCGTCATAGTGGCTTTAGGCCTGCGTAAAACTGTATGTAAATTCACACCATGGATAACTTTTTCTAATTTAATTTTTTTGTGATTTCTTGGCTACATATGAGTTAGGCAAATACTTTTCTACCAGTTCTATTCATGGTTTTGTGTAAAAACGTTGGGAAGTGACCAACATAAACTGTACACCAAACCTCGAGCTTAATGTATTCCGAAACGCAGACGAATTTGGGGATGTTATTTTCGGTAGCATGATGTTATCTACTGACAGAGCCGCAGGAGCAGTTAATTTTCGTAAAAAATGTAGCAATTTCCTGGGTATAGATGAATATCCACATGCCCAATGTTTACATTATGTTTCTGCAGATTACTTTTTTTATAAAAAAAGGGACGCTGGTAAAGCTACAGCATCTTAGACGGCCTAACGTTATTAATGCTATTAATCAACCTTACAGCTACGGTGTATTATATAGGATAAAGATGCTAATTTTGGATGTTAAAGATTTCAATTTTCAATTTTTTCTAGCAGGCCTGAGTGATTTATTTTGTTGCCATTTCAAGAGTTGATAGGTCTGTACTGTTGCTAGGAGAAAATGACGTCTGCAATCTAAAGACCTTTGCTGTGTCATTGACAACGTAGTTGATGCTATCGGAAGGGTCAAACTAAAATCACATCCAGTTGCTTGATTAACTGTTTTAATGATAAAATCTCTGTTCTTGACTGTACTATCACGAAATCTTGCCATGCTTGTTTACTTCAAATGTAATTCAAGGAACTCTAGTATATTTGAGAATTTCTCTTTACACATATATTTTTTGTAAAAACGTAGAACGAATAATTTGGTCTTGCATATTCTGAGGTTAATTGGTCTGTACGGTTGTCATAGCAACGTGACGTCTGTATCTAGTTTAGACCGGCGCATCCATCTCCCCTCCTGGCTTCTTTTCTGCCTGAGCCAGCGTATTGAATATATAGGTTATTAAAAAGGTCAATGATGGTAGTAAAGTAAGCATTCATAAAATTATTAACAATTATATCTTAAACAGCACTTGTGACATAACACTCTTCAAGGCAAGGATGTTTGCACACTCTAAACTTTGGTTTTAGAAATAACTGTTCTACATATAGTAACGTGCAAGTTCGAATTTTTGCATGATTGTACATTAAAAACGGCGTTTCCTCATTGTTCTCATCATATTTAGCTTGATTTGCATATTAAAGACATCTGAAGTTTTGAAAAATGTTGTGTTTATCTCCACTAGTTTTCAATAAAACATTGCCACACAACAAAAAAGACCCAGATAGTTACAGCAACCCTAACACCATCCCATCTCACAAGACCTGCATGCAGCTGGCAGCCATTATACAAGGGCCTTTAGGTTCCAAATTTGAAGTATTTCAACAGAGACCTTCCTCTGTCAAGCTTGAAAATTTGTTTCAAAAACTCACATCTGTATTCACAAATTGTATTGTTTTGCAGGTTCAGATATTAATTGGTCTGCGCCGTTACTATGGCAACATGACGTCTGTTCCATTTTACGCCCACACGGGTTTTCCAACGTGACATTTCATGTTCAAAACTAATCAATTGTGTTATCAATTATGACGGCTCTCCGTCCTTGCAAAAGAACAAGCACCAGGGCAGCGCACATAACATTTATTTTGAATCCATTAACACGTGATATGACATTTTAATATTTTTCTGCACACGATTCCTATGTAGTTGTAATTATGACAATAACTCGACCGAGATCTGCTGACCGCTTTTCTCTGTATGCTGCATATAGTAAAATAGATGATTTTAGATAAACGTACGATTGACTGATTTATAACACAACAAGATATCAACAACAATAAATTAAATGATATCAATTAAGAAAATTGTTCACATATATATACAACATACGAGAACGGACTCTGCCTGTGTGTAAATTCTCTGCCTCTTTATATATTTTACGCCACTAATGTTGTGTGTCCGACGTGTTCAAATTGGTAACATTAACCGTATCTAGAGAGGGGGGGGCTAAAAGTGCCAACTTTGATGTCTGATAACGTCCGAACGGCTTCCGCTAGAACCACCAAATTTGGTGACTTTACTAAAATATTGTTGGAAAAATTAAGTAGGAATTTCAGTAGAATATGACAATGATTTTCGGTTACCTGGCAACCGTTTCTGACGGGCATTTTTTTGCTAAATTTAGTAATTTTCGTTTCAACAATAGAATTTTATGGGTTTTATGTCAAGTTACACATGCTTTCTAACATTAACAATATGTCATGTAATTTTATGTAAATATCATAATTAAAATACATAATTTATTATAATTTGATGACGTCACTGGCCAAAATCCAAGATGGCAGACCACATCATTAGATCAGGTATAAACAGGTTATTTTCCTTAAAATTTCATCACTTAGTCTAGTTATATTTCTTTTTCCAAAAATGTTCATATGAACGTCTTCAGTCTATTTTCAATGTATTTTAGGCTTTATTTTGAAAAAAAAAAATGTGCTCTTCGTGGACTCGCCAGGGTCAGTGAAGATTCCTAGTTTAGACATCTAAAGCAGCGGGGAAGACATCGACTGACTCATGTCTTAAAAATTTCAGTGAACAGTTGAGCTCATGTATATGTATGGATTTATTGATATTTATGATATATTTTCCGTATTAACCTTTCTCTAGCGTCTGTAGTCATAAAAATCGACGCTAATAATACCTCGGTTCATTTTTTTCAATGAAAGTAATCTTAATGTTGTCAAAATTTGGTAAAAGTGATTTTATTTATGTGTGATTGTGCATTTGTACATTTTATTATTTTGATGTGTTTATTAACCATGGATTTTATATTACGAAGTTGATTTCTCAAGCAATATAGTAATATACGTAATGCATTTTACAAAGCCTCAGAAAGGAGACTACCATGTTGATATAAATAAGACTTTCAGCTGAATAGTCAGATTAGCATCCTGGACAGTCTGTAGTCATTAACTCACCTGTAGTCATACCTCACTCACAATCTTTTCTCATGTATGTAATCCTGATGTTATCAAGACTTGATAGTAGCATTTCATACATGGTTTTAGATACTATAGTACAATGAGATTACAAAAATGATGTTTTATTGCATTTTTGCCCTTGTACATCATTGCTACTGCCATAAAGGCAAACCTGCATGATATTTCTCAAAGGTAGAGACTCTTAGCTTTCTATTGATGTATAACATATTGGGGGTATTGTGGAGAAAAGGAAACAAAAATTAAGAAAATATAATATGCGCCATATATCTTTTCACTAAATATTGCTCGAGAGTGTTAGGATCTATTTGCAGCAGACAAATCTCCAGGTAACAGTAGTCATCTGAAAATAACCTTACTTTGAATCAAGCATATCTGATAAGTTATTTGTAAAGAAATATACGACAGTAGTGCCCCCATATTGGTTCCTTGTGGAACCAGTGGCGCTAAACTTACTTGAATCGGCGCCCTTTCTTATTATGTTTATGTTTATTAGGAATCTCCATTGGTAATACAATGTTTGTTTACTAGTCTTCCTGGAGTCCTTTAACATTACATTTAAAGGATGAAATCTTCGACCTCTACTGCCTGTCCCATATGGTCAGGACAGGTATAAACCAAATCGTCTACATTGATTACATTACACGGGCTGACTGACAAATCCTTTGTTGCTAGTTATTTAAATTCAAAATACATATTGTCTTAGACTTGATTAACCAAAGCAATCAGATGGATGAAGTTTGCTAACTTACATTGACATGCGTTTTTTTAAAGCTGTCACAGTTTGCCCACAACTTGAATTTCTTGGCAGTCGCCATGGCTCAACATTAAAAATGCGAGCTCAGCCTCTCACTGAAGTACGTCCTGTAAAAGAGATAAAAGAAGCCCGATCATTATAATGTCATGAACAAGAATCAGTATTGTACGACAACAAATATAAATCATTATATGTCGTTCGATTATAATAAGTACCTGGAACCACTTGGCATATGTAGGAATGCTGTTCGAAGCAGTTTGCGTCATTCCATTTGTCTTTCCATCCCCGGTTGTCGGTAGAGGAACGGTAGTGAACGCAGTCCTCCATGTAGTGTTCGTTGTCTGGTTGTTCGGTAGCCCAATGTGTGTAGGTCTCCAGTGCGGAGCCATCGATCCACTTAAAGCTTCCTTCTTTGCGTCGATCATGAAGGCCAAACCAGAAGCAGGATTTGTCGTTTACGGTGTTCTTGAGGAAGATGAGGAAGGCGTCTGTTGCAGCGTCTCGGGGCATGGCGAGGGTGCCGCCCTCTTGACGGCAACGCCGGGCAGACTCAAGAAACTTTGCCCGAGCGTCGATCGCCTTGTAGCAGATCCCACGCCACTCATTGTAGCCTTTGGGGCAATAAGCTGCAAAGCACATTTAAAAATCAAGGATATAGAAACAGAATAAAAAAGATATAATGAAGATTTTACATTGCTTTATGGCCTAGTAAGAAACATCTTTTTTCATTAATAATAATAAATACTTTCGGTTTCTGATGAACGTTCTTCCTTACCTAAAATGGCTAAGTCTGAATCGCGTAATTAAGGTGATAAAAGCGAGTAATCAGAACGTGACGTAATAAATTACACAGCTAAATGTCAATTTAGCTAAATTATTAGTAAATGTTTTAAATCAATGATAGTCACAATACACATAACCCTTATTCCACTCAGGTGGCCCAAAGGGACCCATGATCCCCTGAGGCCCATTCTGTCCTGGTGGTCTATCTTTACCTTTGGCGCCAGCCGGCCCCATGGGTACCGTTAGTCCCGGTGTTCCAGCAGGTCCAGGTGGCCCAACAGGTCCCGTTTTTCCTGGAGGTCCGGCAGACCCTGGTGGCCCCATGGGTCCTTGCTCTCCTGGCGGTCCTGGTGGCCCAGCAGGTCCAGGCGGCCCGATGGGTCCTGTTCCTCCTGGACTTCCTGCAGACCCAGATGGTCCCATGGGCCCCGTTTCGCCTGGTGGCCCGACAAACCCATCCGGCCCAATGGGCCCCATCTCTACCACTTTTACATTAACTGTATTTATATAGAAAGAAAAAAACGACTTTCTGTAATTATTTTTCAAAATTCTCATGATCTAAACATCACAATCTGTAATTTGTAAACAAGGACGAATCCAACCTGCAAAGTATGCCAGTAGTATGATGTTCACGAGGATGATCACAAAGACCACTGAAAATGCAATCCACAGCTTCTTTACTTGGCTTGAACTGCCTAATCCATCTCCGTCCGCCTCGTTGTCAGTATCCTCATAATTGGCATCTGGTTAGATTTTTTAAGAACACAAAATACATAGTTGATATGTAGTTTATTAAATAATTTATCGGAAAGGAGGTTGTCCTAAACTAATCATGATGTAATCTATTTATCTTATTGGAAAATGGCGTTGGGCAATTGTAGGTCCGGATGTATACTCGCTGTTAAGTCGTATTTGTCATTTAAGTGCCAAAAGTGGTACATGATAATATCTAATATCAGATGAAAAATGATGATACTATTCGACTATAAATGTATTACTAATAACTAGTAATACTCTATTCGTACCAGTGAGAGAGTAAAAAAAATATCATTTTTAAGAATTTCTAATGAAATAACGAATAAAGTATTTACCATCTATGGAGTCATACGTAGGGTTGGGTGTATTTGCGACTGCGTCCGCGAGTCCGGAATAGTCCGTCTCAGATTGCTGCGTGGGTGTGGTTTCTAACAAAAAATATAATAAAAGAATCATTCTAAATCCATGGCAGACTAGAAATGGCAAAATTGAAAGGAAACCTTGGCAGATAGCATAGAGAACTACTATAAGTAGTACCAACTGACTACAGAAGTACTGACATTTTAGAATGTGTACAATTATGTTAATGTTTGTTTCATTTGGTGTGGCGTAATGTTTTTGACTTAACCGTTGATATGGACTTTTCCCGTAAACTCAAAAGTATACAGCAAAAGCGTCGTCTATGATAGAATATTTAGATCTGCTAAGAATTCTGTTGCTCACAGTCGAGAGAACGTCAGAACATGACGTTAGTCAAGCAATGCGGCATCTTGGATCGTCAACCTTGAATGTACTAGCTTAGAAACAAATAAAATGAAATAAAACTATGTGAGAAATTAAACATGATTCATTAAATTTGTGCAACACTTTTTGTTTTCACCTCTGCCTAGTCTATAAACCTCAAACTATGGACTTACTAAAACAATATACCTCAAAATGACATACATGATATGATATGAATTGAAATATTTCTCTGTTGAACAAAGAAATTGTAATTCACCAAATAAACGTGTCGTTTGGAAAGACAAAAAAAAATCAAATAATGAGCACCAACCGGTGTTACAAGCCCGAGGCTTGTCCTGCTGCCGTCTCTCCATGTTGCGACTAGTAAGGATTCCGTTCGTGAAAAAGCACATGCAAACCAAACCCAGCAAGGGGCAACAAATATGTGGGCGTTCTGCATGCAGGAGATTTGTCTCTAGTGAAGATTACACGTCATTGCATTAAGGGATTAGGTGATTGTTACATTCCGTATTGTTTAATTTCAAATGTGATCCATTTTTTACCTGTTATCTTTGTTTTTGAAACACCCATTGTTTTTTTTTTTACCTTTTTGTTATTTGTATTTGTTTGCATTCTTCTCTGTCAGCAGTGAGACTAAAATTTGCAATTTGCTAGAGATTTCCACGACAGTAAGACGCAACTAAAAGTTGTCAATCAGAGGTCAAGGCTATGTTATTGTGAAATGTAATCTGAACAAGAGACAAATCTTGTCAAGAGAACGCCCACATTGTCTGAGGGGGTGTGAACGTTTTACCCGTTTATTAAATAAAAGCCTGACTAGTCGCATCAAGCCGGGACCACAGCAGAGTTAACTCAGGCTAATAGGTTTCCATAATTTGATGACATCTTTTTTCCCGTCTTTGCAATAACAAGTTTTAATTTTTTTTTATTACATTTCAACAGAGTAAGAACGCTGAAGTGCGACTTTTAGGGTAGTAATTTTCCACAAACAAAAAAGTCATAACCTGAACCAGACGTCTATCACCATGGTAACAGGTTGTTGTAGGTTTCTAAGGTTAGACCAGGTGAAGGTAAACAGTATGCCTTTTTCTATGGAAATGATACCTTTCTATTTCTATTAAATAAATTCATAGTATATCCAATGTGTGATTTTGGTACTGATATTTATCCGGCTCATAAATTCGTAAGATTACACACACATTTAGTGAATGTTACTAAAACAACAATATTGGGGTATAATCATTGCGGATTTTATCACATTTGGACAATTTCTCAAAGAAAAGATCTACCGTTGAGACTTGCTCAAGGAAGCCCCGCGCGGAACCAGGGTAATCTGATACCCTTCCTTAGAGTGGAAAATTTACTCTAGAAACTGACCACCATGAGAATCCTTAGGGAAATAACGACTAAAATATTTACCATCTTTCGAGGCATACACAGGGTTGGGTGTGTTGGGTGAGTCCGCAACTGTCGTACTGTAGCCCTCATCAGACTGCTGCGTAGGTGTCTTATCTGACAAAAAATTATAAAATATTAATTGAAAATCCATGGAAGACTAGAAAATCAAAATCAGAAGAAAGCCTTAGGAAATATGTCATTATACAACATGTCATTTTCGCAGATGACTACACTAACGTGTGTTTTGAACGCCCCCTCCCCTTATTAATGCTTACCTTAAAAAAACGCAAATGATGTCAAGAGGTATAAATGTCGTTCTTCTAGAATATTCTGATGTTTACCCAAACTTTATTCCAAAGGGATTACGTTAGACAACACTATGTTCCAACAGTAATACTACGTGACGGATGAAAAAAGATTTCATTAAATCTGTAAAATACTTATCAAACTAAATCTCAAACTATAGGCTTACCCCAAAATATGACATATTGGATATGTTATGAGTTGAAATATTTAGCACGTTAGCGTCCTTTCTAAGTTGGGCGAACAAATTGTACAACTCCAAGGATAACCAAGTCATTTGCAAAGACAAAAAGATATATATGTTTTCAAATAATGATCACCCACCGGTGTTACGAGCCGGTGGCTTGTCTTGCTGCTCCATGATTCGACTTGTCAGGCTTCCGTTCGTGAAAAAGAAGCATGCCAAAGGACAACAAATACAGTAAGTGGGCGTTGAGAGATTTGTCTATAGTGAAGATTATATGACATTGCATTAAAGGATTAGGTTATTGTTTAATTCAGTATTATTCAATTTCACACATTAATCCATTTCTTACCTGGTATCTCTTTCTTTATCATCCATCTGTTTTGTTTGTTATTGATTGTAATCTTCTCTGTGAGACTAAAATTTGTAAGTTGCTAGAAATTTGTACCAGAATCAGACGAAACTATAAGTTTTCAATCAGTTTATCATTCAAGGCTGTTATTGCGAAATTTAATCTGAACAAGAGACAAATCTTATCAAGCGAACGCCCACATTGTCTGAGGGGGTGTGAGCGTTCATCTCCTTTGAAAGCCTGACTAGTCACATCAAGCCGGGACCACAACAGAGTAGGAGCACTCACAGGTTTCATAATTTGATAAAATCTTTTTTTTCTCTTTGCAAATAATAAGTTTTATTTTTTGTTACATTTTAATTGAGTAAGAACCGGCTTACGTATTTAATTGTGTTTACCTTCTTAGAAGGAAAACTTTTTTGCTAATTTTCTCCTTCTTCTTCTTCTTCTGTTCGAAACAAATAAAGTCAATGACCTGAATCAGACGTCTGTCACCATGGTAACAGGTTGCTGTAGGTTTGTTGGGTTAGACAAGGTGAAGGT